ACAGTGCGATTGGCACAGGACAGAGCGGAGTTTAGGGCTGTTGTACATAGGGTCACTATGAGTCGCAAGCGACTCGACGGAACATAACAACAACAAGCAAAATTAGGGAAAAATAATCTACATAGAAATTATCAGATTCTGTAATAGTAGAAAAATTATTTTTCTGTTTTTAAAATGTATTAAATCTTCAGCTAGCAAGTTAAACTTAACAAGATAAAGGGAAAATCTTGACAGTAAGGTATTAGGTCAAGCTATACAAAACGCTACTGTCTACTTCCTCTCTCATAAATAGTCCACATGAGCACTGCAAAAACTTACTATATTATATAGAATAATAGCAAGTGCTTTTAAGAAGGCAATGGGAATACAGGCAAGTTGCTTTAGTATTAATTTTTGCTCAACTTTTTTATAATCAACGTAATACACTTATGAGTTAAATTTTAAATCTGAAAATGTTTAACCCTTTTTCAAACTTTTCATAATTATCTGATGTATTTGATTTGAAGCACATATGGTTGAAGACCAAAGACTATAGTTTTTTAATCACATTCAATACCAGTAGCTACCATACTAGGTTCAACCATATGTAGCAATAATTGAGAGGATGGAGTAAGACTGGATAGTATTTTTGTTCTGGCGTACTAGGGTCACTATGAGTAAAAATCTGCTAGATGGTATGCAAGATAAGAAAGATTTTAATAAAATTTTGTAGATGTTGTTGCTATATGTTCTGAGTCACCTGTGACTCATAGCTACTCAATGCACAATAGTTCAGAACTCTGCCCTCTCCTGAGGCAATCTATCTCTGACATACCTACCACCATTATCCCAGTTACTGTTATCAATCCATCTTATCTGAGTTCTTCCTTTCCTGAGCTGTTACTCCACTCTTCCAAGAATGTAATTTTCCAAGGATTGGTCCTACCTGGCAATGTGTCCAAAGTACATGAAACAGCCTCAAATTCCTTGCCTCCAAGGAGAAACTTTGTTTCATCCTCTCCAAGACAGACCTATTTGTTCTCTTAGCGGTCCATGGCATGTTCAATACTCTTCTCCTGAGCCACAACTCAAAGGCATCAATTCTTCTATCATCAGTAGTCATTGTCTAGCAAGTAACTGCAAAGACCATTGCCAGGATCAAGCATACCTTAGCCACTAGACTGACACTGTCACTCTTCAGCACTCTGGAGAGATCTTGGACAGCAGATTTTCCCAGTGCAATTCATCTTTTGTCTTCCTGACTACTGGTGCCAGGAGTGTTGATTGTGTAGCCGAGCAAGCTGTAATTGTTAGTAGCTTCAATCTCCTCTCCATTTGTCGTGGTGCTACTGAAAGGAAAATTTTG